CAATAATTTCATAGCCAATAACTGTTGTACGGCCTATTAATTACACTCATAAATCCAGTTTCTAATGAGCATTAATTTGATATATAATACTCTGTGATGTCATTTATACTTTAAGTTGCAGAGGGGGGAGGGGGCGTGATGGTTTTGTAACGCCCGGTATTTCTTAGTTCATACAACTTTCTCTAACGTGTCAAAATGCTGACTCTCTCATTGAAAACTCTCATTTTTATAGCCAAAATATGCATTTTCATCAAATTCCTTCTTCCATATAACACTTTATTAAATCCCGCTCGAAAATTTTTAGTTAAGATTAGCTGAACAAAATTAGGAAGCACGACCAGAAAATAAGCTGCAAGTATGGATGCAACTGAAAAGAATAACCTATAAAACAGATGAATGAAACGTTAAAAGGAAATGTTTCTTTTTCCATTTATCAGACCTAAAGCGTGTCGCTTACCAAAATTCATTCTTAACAACAATGAAGCTAAATCATTAAAATTGAGTACAATATGTGTGACACTTTCATTAGGCTTAAACATAGGTTCACAAACCAAATTTGAGACGTAGCTATTGTTAACTGGTGATGATTTCTGTACATGCAGTATTTTATCAATTAAATCGCCAGGTTTAAGTCTATATAAACTTAAATAAACTCGGTCAAAATAATAACCAAAACGTTGGATACATGCAGCTTCACTTCGACAAACGGCGAATAAATCTGCCCCTGAGAACCCTACACGTTCAAATGTGCCGTAATTTATTAGTTTGGAATGTAGATCTAATAATGCTTGGCGTATGTCGTGATCATGTTGTACTATCAACCGGCGCTCATTAATGTCTTGCTCTTCTTTTTCATCACTATCGGTATCATCAGTTGGATGATAATCGTCATATTCGCGATAGGACAGTGGTATTTTTGTTGGATCTTCATGGACATCTTCTAACATCAACATTTTTAATTTTTGTTGTTCATATTTTATATAGTTGACTACTAAATCAGCCTGTTTTGATGGTTTACATTTTGGTTTATGAAACGGCCAGTGGGCTATCTGACACTCTTTTGAACAATACACTGTTGATCTACACCTACCGCACCGATTAAACTTTTGGCCAGTAGTTTTACAGGATTCACATGCTTCCATTGATTTTTATTTAATGTTTTTGAACATTAAAAAAGAAACAGGACTTGAGTGTAAACTACAATGAATGTACTTTTGGTAGTCTACAGAGAATCTGATAGACAAGCACATGAAAGAAAATGGATGTGTCGACTGACGAGGGAACCTGTAACGATCGAAAGAGACAAACTGAAACCATTCTCAAATATTCATAGCGCCATACTACTGGTTGTTACAGAAATGAAATAGTCTAGTTTTAAGAAACGGATCAGTTTTACAATAAAGAAATAACGGTCAGACCTTTCTAAATTTAGTTCTAATTTAGTTTCTTTTGTTATCGAATTCTTCTCTTTACTCAAGATTAAGATAACTAAAAAATATCGTTACATTTTTGGTGGAGGTGCGGGGCATTTTGGTGTTTTCGTGTATGCTCATATTTTTCTTCAATCAACAGCATGTCATACAAAACTCAAATACACCATAATAAATCACTATCAACAGTTCATCAAATACATTGCTCACAATCATATCAGACAGGGTTACATAATTCAGTACATAAACAAGAAACAATAGGAGATGTAAAACTAACAACTACAGCATCACTTTATGACATTCTAAAACAGCAAATATAACTGCAAGCAAAAGCAATTGATTCTCTTCAACAACAGCTTATTGAATTTAAACTTTTATCACCGCACAGAACACCGAAAACTCGGAACAATCGACATTATTTCACATAACACAACAACCACAACCACAGCTTACACATCAACTTTCATCATCTCATCGACCGAATAGAAGACTTCATGATACAACAATAATACCATCCCCAGTATCGTCAACGATACATTTAAAAGCATCAGATTTATCAACTTATCGTGGAAGACAAGATGAAGATATAGATCAATGGGTGGAACAAGTTTCAGCTATCAAACAATATATTCATACGACAGACGGAGAACTACTAAAAGTACTTCCATTAGTTTTCAGAGATAATGCTTTAACCTGGTTTACGACGCTTGGTGAAACAAAAAGATCAACATTAACAACATGGGGAGGATGGGAAGAAACGTTAAAGCAAGCATTTAGACCAGCTAACTATCAAATGAAATCATTACGTGATCTAAAGTATCGTACATTTACAAACAATGAATCTGTGAATGATTATACTTTGATAAATGTAGATTTTTAGTATTCGGTGAAGAAGCAACAATCGTTAATGATATTATAGATGGTTTATCGGGAAATTTTAAGATGTTTGTATTAAGTCGAATCAATCCTAATACATCATTAGAAGAATTACGTCGTGTTCTAGTGGACTTGGATTCAAATATTCATGAACAGAAACTCAATAATACCTATCGATCCAGCGTCAAATTTCACAATCATAGCAACGACCATAATGAGCGTCATTATTTAAATTCAGATACAAATACAAATCGAAATGCAACACCAACAACAAGAACATCAAAAATTAATCCACCGAGTCCATATCCACTTTGCCGGGGACGGCACTGGAAAAATGATTGTCCATTATTACAACAACAACAACTAGGCTTATTCAATAACAGATCAGTATTAACAAGAAACGTATATGACAGTAAAATTAATGACACATCATATAATCAACATCGAAGAATTAATAATACAATAGCATTAAATAATAATCGACAATGTTTTTTAATTGACAGCATTAATTCACATCGAATTGATGAAGAACGTCCATGTGACTCTATTGAACCATCCAATTTAAGTTATGAGCATATCCACACTGATATAAACAATGTATATCGTGAAAATAACATTTCATCATCATCCCCAATAGATGATAATAAAAGTCATTCAACAATAGCACTCAATCTAGACAATTCGCTTGCTGAATAAAATTCACTTAGTGATAATCAACAAATAACATACATGCCAGAAATAATAACAATAGATTCAGACGAAACAACAACGTATCAAAATTTATCTCCAGCTCAGTCGAAAATTATAATTAATAATCACATATTAATAGCATGTATTGATACAGGATCATCAATATCGATAATTGATTCAGAAATATTGAATAAAATAGATCCACATGCTAAAATAGAATCACCGCTGCCTGTTGTACTACAAACGGTGAATTCAACAAGTCATCCTATGGGTAAAACAAGATTAAATGTCGCATTTGTCAACAAAACAAATTCGGCAATCTCATCAATACCAATTGAGTTTATCATTATTTCTAATGCTCACACGAAAATAATTATCGGCTATGATTGTTTATTAAAAAATGGTGCAAAATTAAATCTGGTTGATGGTCATTTTACATTAAAGAATTCAAAAAGTGGTCAAATACCATTTATTGTGCATGATGACAAACCACACTTTCTAGAGCAACAGTCGTCACATTTTTTCACGAAATCATTTGATAATGAAGGAAATTTAATAAAACCGTTACCTAATGTAGAAACAACAACACCTTCAACACTAGAAACAAGGTTAAAGCGATAGTTAATTGGAAAACACTCAAAAATCAAAAACAGATACAGCAATTTTTGGGGTTAGCTACATACTATCGTCGTTTCATAAAACATTCTCGTATTTTCTTGATATAATCAGTTACGTTCATCAGACGTTGGCATAGGTGCTATTCTCGTACAAGTACAAAATGATGGTACTGCGTTATTTGTTATATATCAAGACAATTAAATGCAGCTGAACAGAATTATAGCGCCACTGGATTTGAATGTTTAGCTGTTGTCTGGTCATTGAAAAAATTACGTACATATTTAGATGGTTCAAAATTTGAATGTATTACAGATCATAGTGCACTACAGTGGTTATTTGACTTCAATGGGCATAATAAACGTTTATTAAGCTGGTCACTCAGTACACAAAATTACCGTGATACAATGAAAATAGTTCATAAACCAGGTAAAAAACATAATAATGTTGATCCATTATCTCGTAATCCATTACCAGTAATTAATAATATAACATCAATCTCACTATCAGCAGAAGTTAAACGACAATTTGTATCCTCTTATTTACAAGATGATTATTTCTAAAATATTATCGAATTAATTAAACAAGATGGCTCACCATTAATAAAAGAAATAAAACAGAAAATTAAAGATTATTTATATCAGGATGGTCTATTATATTACTTTGATTCAGAAACAAGAAGTTATCAGTTATGTGTAAGCTTACCAAGCAATTCGGATTTAAAATTAAGAATATTATATGATTCACATGATGCACCTGTAGCGGGACATTTTGGTTATTACAAAACATCTATGTTAATCAAACAATCTTATTATTGACCTCGTATGTCAAGGGATATAAAAAAGTACGTTTTTAGCTGTCAGTCATGTCAACGAAATAAAGCTATGAATCAACAATCATTTGGTCAACTGCAATCATTAGCTATATCAAAAGAGAGATGGGAACGAGTGGCGATGGACTTTATTGTTGGCTTACCCACGACAACAGCTGGTTATGATTCAATTATTGTTTTTATTGATCGGCTCACAAAACGAGCTTATTTTAAACCAGCTAAATTTCAGATAACTGCAGTTGACACAGCGACAATTTTCTTCGAAACAATATTTCGTCATCGTGGTTTACCTAGAATTATTATAAGTGATCGTGATCCTAAATTCACAAGTTTAGTCTGGCAAACTCTGTTTTACTTGTATAGGAACAAAAATTTCATTATCGACAGCATTTCATCCACAAACAGATGGACAAAGCGAAAGATTAAGTAGAACTGCAGAAGAAATGTTACGACATTTTAGTACACAACAACAGAGAAATGGGATGAAACATTAACACAAATAGAATTTGCTTATAATAATTCGATACAAACATTAACAGGTTTTAGTCCATTCTTTTGAGACACGGGCCGTCATCCACGAATTACTGAACAGTTAACATATCCAATAACACCACAACAAGATACATCACAAACAGCAACTGATTTTTTAAACGATATGCAACAAAATCTTGAAGCTGCACAAAATTCAATATCAAATACTCTACTTAAACAAGCTAAATATTATAATAAGAAACGTCAAGCAAAACAATTTCAAGTTGGTGATTGCGTTTTGCTAAATACAAAATATTTAACGTTTAAATTTGATGAACAAAAACTACCACGAAAACTAAGACCAAAATATTTAGGTCCGTTTAAAATTGTAAATAAGTTATTACCGTTGGTATATGAATTAGACTTACCACAAAATCTCAAAATACATCCAATAATAAACACATTATCATTAAGACCGTTTGTTTCAACACCAGAAGAATTTCAACAACGAGTAATAAAATCCGTCAATAATAATCACATAAAGAGATGGGACATCTCTTGTCTCACAGGGGAGATAGTTGTAACGCTAGAAACGAGACAAACTCAAACCATTCTCAAATATTCATAGCGCCATACTACTGGTTGTTACAGAAATGAAATAGTCTAGTTTTAAGAAACGGATCAGTTTTACAAAAAAGAAATAACGGTCAGACCTTTCTAAATTTAGTTCTAATTTAGTTTCTTTTGTTATCGAATTCTTCTCTTTACTCAAGATTAAGATAAATAAAAATACAGAGTGAGTTAATTTCTACACGCTCAGTTTCATGATAGAAGAACTTTCACAAGCTTGTGACGAAACTATTACCCAACTAACAGAAGGAAAGCTGCTTAGTCATAGCTTTTCCATTCGTTAACTTCAGTTCTGTATACAGTCTGGTTTAGCTCCTTTTGACTACACAAACTGCTTTTTCAAACTATGGCCCGGAATTCTACAAAATCAACATATCTCTCGTATTTCTGCAAGGCCCGCAGAAACTGGTAATGCAAGTGATATTGGTCGGCATGCACCAGTTACAGTTAACTGTTTAACTGTAAAACTGTAACTGTCATAACTGTATAACTGTAATTGCTCATAACTGTAGGTAAATATTTTAGAGTGATTAGTCTTGTACAATTTGCATACATTTTAAGAATGTCTGTGTTCGTAAAAAGTATGCTAATCATAGAAAACTAACTCACTCTAAAATATTTACCTACAGTTATGACAGTTACAGTTTTCACAGTCACAGTTAACTGGTGAAAAACTGTAACTAGTGATTACCTAGATATTGGACACCTTTGACGAACTGTAATCCATTTGAAAGTAAGATACACGTAATGCAAACTTCAAGTAAAATGTTTTTTTGGCATTATTATACATATTCAGATTCAGCTTCGGAACATCGAAACGAGCTCAGACCTTCAGGATATAGAGTATTTAAGCTATTCTATATCTTATTTACAGGAGATCTTAAAAAAAGTTTACAAAACCCTAAGATTTTTAGGGTTTCGGAAAAACCCATTAACGCAAATATGCTTTTCGGATTTTTTCAACCTTATAATCACGTTTAGCGGAGAAAATCAACCATATCCTGAAGGTCTGAACTCGTTTCGATGTTTATTGAGTGAAAAGTGAACTTTTTAATAGTTGAAGCCAGCTTGAATACCCAAATTTTCGTAAAACTCACTTTTCGGTAGACTTTTAGAACTTTTTCTAAAAACAAATATTGCCACAAGACTTAACATGATCGATTACCTATAGTCCATCCGTTTTCAAGGCTATCAATAGTCACCGAGTGCCAGTCCTGGGGCTCGCAAAAAAATCCGACACAACACCCGAACCGCGGGAAACCAAGGTCTTGCTTGACTCTCATTTTGAAGAAGATGCCCTGGGCTATTATAGCATGAAAGAAAATCAGTACAATCCTACTGAAAATTTTTACACATACCTCTGAAATGAATTGAAAACCTTTTCTAAATCAGTTTTCAATGCTAATTCAGAAAAACATAGTTCGAACCTTCCATCTTGCAATACAAGCTCTGAAAGCCAATTTCATTTCATAGAGGACGATTTTGGGGTCTTTTTGAGGTCCTCTCAATAATTTGAGTTTTTCTTCATGAAGAAATGGCCTTTGGAGGCTCGGAAGGTGTTATTCGGAATCAGCTCGTTGAGCTGAATCTGAATATGTATAATAATACCAAAAAAAATTCCACTTGAAGTTTGCATTACGTGTATCTTATAATGTTGGTAGATCTAACCATATGTATTTATGAAGCTAAAGATCGAGTAGTGAATCTAAAGATCGAGTTAGTGAACCTTCACTATCAGTCTAACTGAAAAATCCTTGAACAGTTGAAATATACGAACTAACCTTTTTTCGCTAATATTTTCAAATATATTTTGTTTGAATGTAGAAGTTTTTTACAATGTAACATTATGTGGCATCTTTCATCGTGAAGTAAATATTGCCATTTTTTGAATAATTCTTGTTTTTGGTTTCTTTTCTAAAAGAAAATATTATTTTTATGAAAAGAAATTACTTAACCTTTGTTTGATTTCAACAAAAGACATTACTGTCTATAAAAGAAGAAAAAAGCTTAGCCGTCAACGCTCACGCTCAAACAAAGGTGGTACGCATATTTTAAACGTGTCTTTCTCACACTGCCTTTCACAAACTTTGAAGCATTTGTTGGCCCTTGGCAATTTCTAAAAAACAGCTAATGAATTAAGATAATCCCTATTTGACCATCAACGAGACTTACTCGTTAATGTTTCTACGCAGAAAAGATAGAGAATTTTGTGCTTTATCGATCTCACTCATTCACAACTTTATACAATGTTTCCGCTACGGTAGCTAGGCTCAGAATTTGGTCCCAATCGGCTTCTCAACTTTTTCTTGAACTTGAACTTGAACTTTATTTACCAAAATGGAAGGACATGAAAAAAGTAGCTAAAAAGCTAGTCAATAGAAGTATAATGTCACCCTATTGAATCCTGCCCTGTCGAACACAAAGTCAATCAACAAAGAAAAAACAAAACAAAAAACACACAGATATAAAAGCTGGAAAACAGAAAAATGATGAACACAGATGATGACACAAAAATGATGACACAGTAAAATACAATCAATTAACAGTATGTTCTAAATGTTGATACAGCAGTTTTTTAAATAGTCTTAAAGATTGACAGTTCACGAGTAAAATTGGCAAAGAATTCCACTCCAGCGGAGTTTTATAGAAAATTGACGACTGAACTGTAGTATAGCGAGCGAATGGACAGATGACAGAACGATTATGGTTTAAGCGTTGAGAATGTCTCGCAGTTACAAGCAGTTCTGTGTAAGGTAATGAGAGTAAAACCCTGGATTCAGAAGATTTTACTGCTTTTATAGCTCAAAACCTAAAGTCTGTGAAAAATAGGTTTAAAAGTTAGGTTTTTTATTGGATTTATCAGTTTTTTGCACAGAGAAATTTTTCTAGAAGACTTAAATACAAAATTTTGAGAAAAATGTACGAAGATGCAGAATTTTCTGGGGAGTCTTCTGATATTTTCAAATTCTTATAGAATCTATTTTTGGATTAAAGCAAATATTTTTCTATTTTCAGTGTTTGGATGTCAAACTATTCAATATTTTGAATGGTAGTCAAACGAGAGAAATACTGTCAGAGATTCAAATAGCAGCCCACAAGATCATTTTTTCGTATTTATTGCATTATAATGCATTAGGCATATCGTAATGCTTTGTAATGTGTTAGCTTTTCTATTGTGTTATAACGCGAATAAATTTAGAAAAAACATGTCTTTAATGCATTGTAACACATTAGCGTAAAGCGTTACGTGGAAAATAACTGCCCAAAACTTACAATTATAGTATTATAATGCATTTTTATCAACGACTTTCTCATATTTCATAATGCTACAACGCTATAAAGTCGACTAGCACGTTAGTAGTTTTGTGTACCATTATAAGGCGTTACCAAATTCCTATCGCATTATAACGCATTAATGCGTAATACATTGCAACGCGTTACGGGTTAATGTATTATACTGCTATAATATCTAACACATTATGACGTTATAAATTTATGGCATTACAATGTATTAACTGTTCAGGCGCTGTAACGCTATACGTGACAGTGGTAATAAGTGTGCTGTAGGAGTTTAAGTCTCAAGTCGGTAACGTATATGTGTGATATAGTTGAAGTAATTTTTCTCAGATCAAATTTTCGAGAGGAATCGATTGGCAGTCTCAGAATTTTATGCAAATGTGTCCTTTACGAGAAAATCATGTATTTTCGTTTTAGATATTGTCTAACTCGTTGTAACGCATTAATACGTATCGTGTTACACCGAGTTCCATTTCCTTATCTCATTGCAATGCGATAGAAAACAATAAGGCATTGAAATCTATTAGATATTAACTCGTTACAGTGCAATATGCATTATCTAATGAATTATAACGCTATAAAAGATTTTTCCAAATTTGTGGTATTATAATTAGATAAAACATCTAAGGTATTATTAGGCATTAATTTCTAACGCATTATATTGAAGTAGAAAACTCGAGAATAGAAGAGCGTTCATAGAGATGAACGGAAAGAAATCACGCTGGTTTTCAATTAAAAGAGGTGGTCCACAGGGATCGATTTTTACGCCGACCCTCTTCATAACGTATCACGCAGACATGGGGGATTTCCTAAGTTACTGTAGTTCCTCCTTTTTTGCGGACGATTTAGCTGCGGTTTTGGCAGGTAGAATTGGAATAAAATATACAGAACAATGCATAGAATTTGGAAAAACGACTCAAAAAATTCTTTGAATTGTTGGAAATGTACTCGATCATAAATTTGCAACCGATAAATTACATCAAAACAGAAGCTATTTGGTCAGCTAGGGCTATTGTAGGCCCTAATTTCGATATTTTCTGTGGTTCACAGCATATTCACTGGGTAAAGGCCTTTAGATATCTCGGATACCGGATTACATCTAAAATCGGATGGGGCCTAATGATCAGAAAGACTGTACTGAAAATTAGGCAGAGTGTCAATATGATCATGGCGTGTAGAGTCAATGGTAGCAGTCCCCCGAATTAAAAAAAGCATTGTTTTTGTGCTATGTTCTTCCTATTTTTACCTGGCTCTTCGCCATATTTCCATTGTTTACTTCAAAACAACGATCTGATCTTTCCCATTTCTACTACACGAGTCTAAAAAGGGTGTCTTTTAATCTACATTGGTCAGATTCCTTCTTTTCGTATGCACTCAATGAGATTTCCCTTGAGGATAGGTGTTTTAGATATTGGGACAAATATTGGCGAATGTTAGCTGAGTCTACAGACGGGGAGCTACTTTTCGAACAGGCGACCTTAAATGTTCACAGAAGTTCTTGGCTTTCTAAAGAACAGACAATTAGATGTCTATGTAGATCAAAAAGATTTGTAGCTCACCAGTCTGTCCTCGAGAAACGTGCGCTGTGGTGTGCGGATAGCGCTTCCAATGACTCGGTCTCAAGTTTTGATATTAACGATGTGAGTTTATTACGCGAATTCCCTGAAACCTTCTGATACTATTTTTCGTCGTTTTTCTTCT